AGAAACATGGACGTGTTCCGCAAACATTGTTAAAACTCGTTATACAGCACGTTGACAAAATTTATAGTTGCAAAATCAATTAGATCGAGTAAAGCGTTATTTAGCCAGATCGGTAATTTAAGGATTCAAGAAAGAAAAGCCTTTGACGAGAAACGAAGAATCACTCACCTCTGACTGGAAGGTATTCCACAGATCAATGCATACTAAACCAATACAAGATTCCCCCGACAAACACGACTCGCACCAGACGAATGTCACAAAACGAAATTCTTTCTAATCAGCACTGTGCGAAAATCTCCAATATTTCGACGCCGATTCGCGCGCGCGCGCGGTATGTATCGTGTGATCCGTGACGAGATCTAACAGCGGACGAAATATCGGATCACGGATGCGCACATCGGCACGACTCTGTTGAAACTGGGGAGCGGTGAGCCAGCGGCGAACAACTTTGGAGTTGCTGGTTACGCGCGGCGCGAATGCACGTGGGTTCCGGGGAGGGGAAGATCGAGGGCCTGTAGGGTAGGTAGTAGGTATTCACCACGAATAGCATTTCACTTGATGGGAACCAGGCTGGTGTAAATCATTCGCGCTCCTTGCGAACTATTCATTTTTCCTTTTTACCGTTTTCCTTCTTCGGAAGAATCCTTCGGACCACAGCTACTCCTTGCTAGTCGTTTTCTGTCTGGACATTCTCTTCCTTTTTTGAGATGTCGCTCAACACTTATCCCTGACGTTCCAAAATCAGAATAATCTCCGACAAGTTGTTTGTTGTTTTCATTTCGTTTTCACCGCAATGTACGATGCGCGTTGTCTACTTCATCAAACTAGTCGGTGGAATATTTTTGCCGACCTTACTGAAAAATCAACGGCGAAATGTCTGTGGAAGCAATTCACTTTCTTGAGCACTGTATTTTGGTTGGTTTGCTGAAAAATTCAAAGTTTTTTCCTAAACGAGAAAGGAAACATTGGAAAAGGCTTGAATTGATCACTTGTCGCTTCTTTACCTCCATCACCTGTCAAATTGAACTCTCGTGCCAGGGATTCGTTTGATCAATAATGAAAGAAGACATTTCTTTACGGACCAGACGCAAAAGTCTAATATCGGAGATACGTAGTCTGTGAACAAACGACTCCGAGAGGCAAAAAACAAGAGATACATGTCGGATAATGCACACGAAACAAATTATATATATATAATTCGGGCCTATTCAACAAACCCTATTCGACACTGTTTCGCTTCTAAGGCAGCTTTCAACGAGCCTATTGCTTGCGCCTGACTTCTAACAGAAGACGGGATAAATGTAGAAGAAGCAGGGGGGAACAGGTTCTAGATTCATTCACATCTCCGCAAGGCCTTGGGCCCAACAAAAACCATGCTATGCAGTTCTTACCGTCGACTTATCCTGTACTCCACCGGTACCCGCGATCGCGATGTACCAGCTTCTCTTTTAAACGTCGAACAAGACAAACTAATAAATGTTGCAATGTACACGAAGCTTGTTTCGCTACCATTCACCTCGTCGATCGCATCGCGCGACCCAGCTTGAATTCTATAATTAAATAATTGTGCAAGATTCACGGTAAAACGTAAAACGTACAACGTACAACGACGGTAATTATTCTGCCGAAAGTTACTCAAAACTGTTTTAGAAGATCTTTCGAAAACGGACAAGTCTTTTCTTCGGATCTGTTCTTTACGTATTTTCTATAGAAATAGCTCTCGCTTACTCGACTCATTCACCGTTTATCCCTTTCCGAAAACGAACATGAACATAAAATAGTTCATTCACATAAGTTCGTACAAGTTTTATATACCATCGTGTAAAAAATCTTAAACAGCTGATTTGATGTTGCGAATTAAATGATTAATAAAGCGATCGATAAATAAGTAAAGTATAGTTTCCTTTTTAATTAGTAGATTCTAATAGATTCGTAGACTGTTAGACGTTACAATTATAAAATCTCCACCAAGTCCGTAAACCGGATCTATCGAATCAAAAGTCCAGCTCTCTGTCAATTTCTTGTTTGTAATATACGGTCCGAGTTCGTATACGTGTTATCCGAGGACACTAATCTAAAATGTTCCACCGAGAAGTGCGTGGGCAAACACGAACATTCCCGAAGAAGACTAAAGTTTCCTTACGAAAAGAAACCTGAAAAATTCCAATAAAACCATCTGCATTTTCAAAGGGAATTCAGGAAAATCAAATCAATTAATCGGCTAATCATTTTCGTCCATTCCTCTTACCGTAAGCAGTCTACATAGATGAAACAGTCTATTACAATCAGGATTTGGGTAAATTCGCTTAATGCGTCGAGTCCAGAGAATCCTTCTGTTTTCGAAATTAACTTACAAATACCTTTCAAGTAGACTTTAACAAATGTACCGAAATCCTAATTGTAATATTCCAAACATTTTCGTTACTACAAAGTATTCTTAATGAACGCTTTCAACTACTGCTTTAAACACGTTCGCCACCACCAGGCTCTGAGAAGCAGGGGTCTCGCTCTACAGCCCATGGTGATCGCGGTCCAAATACGTCCGTAATTGACACGAGTCTTTCGAGGAAATATTTCAAACATTCGAAATGCGGGAAATAAAACATTTCTCAAATATTTCGAGTTTCGATTCAGACATTGCGTTCGAGGAACAACGCAACGACATTCCTGAATACTCGTACACTCGTGCAGCTACAGAGTCTCATTTACTTTCATTCGACACTAGCACTACCGAACTGACAATATCGACTGTTTCTTACGGACTAGAAAATGTAAATATCTCCAGACCAAAGACATCCTACAGAAGGAACTCTGCAGTTTCACGTCCGTACACCTTCCGTGGACGCTGATTACAGATCCTTGTGCGCCCATGCGCAGTGGGATTGGGATTAGGCCCAATCAGCCGTGGCTGGAGCGTTACCAACTTTATTTCTTGGGGATGACGAGTCCCGTGGAAATGGGGACACCGTTGCTAGTTTCTTTCTCTAGTTTACTTTCCAAAGCTCTGTCAGCTAGCCAGGCTAGTGCCGGACTAGTTGGAACCCAGAGTAGTAGTACTAGCTGCCCACGCGCCGAGATCCTCGAAAGATCCCTAGCCCAGCATGCTGGCTTTCAACCAGTGACACTGCGAAGCCACCGCCAAATGACAGGGTCTATATCTATCGGATATAGGTTATCCGTAATACCAATTATCTGTCGACAGTTGTACCGCTGTTGGATGCGTACACTTTATATGCTGTATCTTTCACATCCAGGTGGCTCGTCCCTATCAAGGCTATCGCGGCTTGGTTGACCCAGCCAGACAGCTCGGAATCGCGAATTCCCATACCGCAACCACCATACGGCCCCCGAGGGTCAAGGACATCCTACAATCGGATAAGTTTTTCTTTCAATAGTACACAATCCGTTTCTACATTTCTCAAGATACGTTATCGTAAACGAAAAATCAACACGCTCCGCACATCTGCGCCGATGGGCTCTGCGAACGAAACGGGGTTTCGGGACTTCGTAATATGCATAATCCTCTGAAAATCGTTTCCGATCAACAGAACTGGAGCAAAATCGATCCGAAATCGTGAAGACTCATGTGCAAAAACCTGCTTGCATACTAAACGACTGCCTAATATTTGATCGAGCCCAAGGCGAAATTCTTTTCTCTATTGTTGAAAAAGAAACGCCGCAGTAACATTTCGATGCAAACCGCTGGTGTGCACTTGCAATCAATCGAAAAATAATACCCTTGGCAAACTTTATCGAGGTCAACTGTTTCCACTGGTTAAGCACGCAGTTCGTTCAACAGTCATTTCTTTCGCGACTTATAAACACTAATTAACAGTTTCAAGTCAGAAGGTATTTATGAAGGGGAACAGCAGAGGACAGGTGACGAGGTCTCATCAACAGCAACGCGTCCAACTGCCGGCTCTTGCTGCATACTCTAGACTCCTCGGTACACATACGTGTACGCCCCAGCTGCGTAAAAGCGCTAAAATGAATTGTAGCAATAGAGATCCTTAACGGAAATCGTTTAGCGGTAAGCTGCAACAAACGTGCAAGATCGAACAGGTTGGCTAATGCAATTACTTTCACCAGTTTCAACTGTTTACTCTATTAATTTCCTAGCCAGCGTTATTCCTGAATGTTTTTCATGCTACGGTACTTTGGTCGTCTCGTCGGTAAGTAAAGGTAAATTTGAAATTGAAATTGAAATTCTATCGATACTCGTCTTTAAAAGGAGCCGGTCATCGCCTGTTCGATACGTAATTCGGGTTAGACGAATTTCCGGCCAGCAAAAGTCAACCGGCAACATCGTTGCGTCGCGACGCGTCGGTTGCCGAACTGTTACAATCGAAAGAAACGTCCCCGGTTATTCTCTCTTCGAGTTCTCGGCAAGAGGTAAACCTTTGTATTGGATCGCGTTAGACTGTTGGAGTTCTATTCTCGAGTTAATGCGTCCGCAAGGATACACCGGTTCAAAGAAAGTACGCGAGCCGTAAGTAGATGAATGCGTATTAGGACGGTCGAGTACCTCGTTTAATTGGAACCTCCGTAAACTCGGTGGCCGCGCGTGCCATATGTGGCAGCTTCTAGGGCCTCCTTGGGGTTTCCCGAATGGATCCGAAGTCGGCGTTTGGCTAATCCTCCGGAAGGACTCGCGCGCTCGAACCGCACTGAACCGTGAACATTTTATGTCCAGTTTCTTCGAGGGGGCAAACAAGAGAGTAGCGTACTGTTACTACATAATACGGCGGAAGTCGGATGTCCAGGCGCAGCGTAGACGTTCGACGAGTCTTCAGCGCGACGGGAACGGAACGAAGAACCCAACTGGGCTGGCCTGTAGGTGGTCCATCGATGTGGCCCGTTTGCTCTATAAACTCGACGAGTTAGATCGTATGCCAGATGCGGATTGGAACAAGGAGGCCCTTCAGCCGAATGATACAACACCGTGGTCATTACTGATCGACCATCCTCGCTGTTCGTTCTTTCCGAGTTCTCGCTGCTTTATTCGAATCGATGTCTCGAACAATTGCTGTGCAGCGAATTCTAAAACAACTAAAAAATATGTAACAATTGAAATAACATTGTCTTGCATAGGTTCGTTTATCGAGGACCTTTTGCCGCAATTTAAAAGCTCAACAGTTGTTCGGCTTAAAATGAACAATATAGCTGCACGAGAAATCTGCTTCCATGCATCTATGGATAGTAAATTAATTATTGTGCGTGTTAGTAGTATCGGTAAAGATGTTTTCGACTGTTGCGCATGTGTACGCCTGTGCTACGCAAACGGGTGTCTCTGCTGCTGAGCAGGTTGCATACCATGTGTTGTCAACACTCGAATTTCACTCGAAGCCGTTCGTGTCGTGAAGTATACGATATTCGATATATTGTATTTCTCAAATATTATTGAAGAAGCCGTTTCTGTTTCCTTACAGACTATCGGATAAATCTCGGATAGTAAATCAACAGATTATTTCACCAAGAACATATAACAAATCACCGAAGCGAAAAGATTGAACGTGGGAAATAACTACTTAACCACCGAACAAATCATTCAAATAATATTACAAAAAAGCTTATTTTTCCATTGTTATTGAAATAACTGTACAACGGTGCTCGCATAGTCTTTATTAGTACAAGTCAATAAGCAACATGTTTTCGTAACAGCATAATAAACGTTGGGAATTGCTGGAATATAAATATGTGTACAAGAATGAAATACGAATCTGTGATCCATCCAACACCTACAAAGAAAATATCATTCATGGCAAGTCGGCATGTTGGCATGACAGCATGTTAGCAATGCGGGGGTGGAGGATGTGTATCGCATAGGGTTACATTAATTGATCCACCCGCTACGGTTGGCACAACAACAGGCACCACACCTGAACCTCCAATTCCTCCTCCGTATACTCCTCCGAATCCTCCTTCGATTCCTCCTCCGTATACTCCTGCGAATCCTCCTTCGATTCCTCCTCCGTATCCTCCTCCGTATCCTCCTCCGAATCCTTCTTCGATTCCTCCTCCGTGTACGAATCCTCCGCCATGGCCGTACTATAATATCATACATACAAGACATACGATTAATCAACAATGAACCATAGAAATTTCACGACAATTTTGATCGGGGTATACCAAAAGGGATAGCAATATCACAGAAATATCAATTAGCATGCTTCGAAAAGATCCTCGAACCGATTATCGACAATCGTCAAGGGAAATGTTTGAATTGTCGTGAAATTGGTAGTGGTGATGCGATAATATGGACATGCATAGGTTATCATTGCAAGATAGACGTAATATTTACAAGAAATCGAAGCAGAACATTTATGATACATACGAATGATCGAATAAACGTGTACGTAAGAAAAACTGCTGGGAACAAATGATTAAATCGCAGTGTCATTGTGCTGAGCTTAAACATACAGTTATTATCGAGTATTTAAACTTACTGGAATACAGGGCCATCCGATGTGATATTTGCATATCAAAATAGGAGTATAAGGCCGACAGTAACATGGTATCCAAGTCTTGTGATAACACGGGCAGTGATTAAGACGCTCAGCTATTTAAGCAAAGTAACTGCATTAATAATATGAAAGATTTTCGAAAGCCAATACTTGAATCCAGTCATACGTGTTTCAGCGGGCTTCAAGTGAAGGTGAACATGCGTTGTGACATTAATGGTCACCGGATTATCATTGCTCTTTGGTACAACTTCGGTACAATTTGTGGAACTGCAGTCCGTTACATATTCGGTTTCGGTAATATTGATTATGTGGTGTTTATGTTTCTGCATTGTTTTCTTTTCTATGCAGTGATTACATTTCTGTTCGCACGACGTTCTTCGCGTTGCACAATGAGTCTCCATACACTTATCCATGCAGGCATGATCTGAATGTAATTTTATCGTATGAATATTCGGAAAATATTTCAATGCATCACCTCCTCGCTAATTTCAATCACCTCGAAGTATCTTATCAAATTCATTTGTCATACCGAACAACTTTTTCTATACATCTAACAGGCGGTTTCACTTTTGTTTCACTTTTCGAAATATTCGCAAACGTTTCTCTGGGAAAGGGGAAATATTCATTAGCAACTAGCGCTTGATATTTTTCATCGGCGACTATTAGTTCAACAGTTACGAATCATTAAAATCTCGCTTCGAGCTCAACGCCTCCGAAGCAACTGCAACAGGTGAAAGAAAACATTCGATACGACACAGATTTTCACTTGTAGCCGAAAAAATAAAAAAGTCCGCAACATATTTCAAAGTTATTTCGATCAGCGAGGAGGTCACACATCCGGGTGTTTGCCGAGTTTTATTTCAAGTCTGTTAATACGATGTCGTGTAGAGTGTAATCAATGAAATTAGCACGTTAGGAGAGAGTATTTTACATTTCTTAACGTTTAAGCTTTCAAAGCCATGTTCCTGCAAAAGCTTTCTATGAAACTTGATATTTAAACAAAGTTCCGATCACTCGAATCGAGAGACACCGCAATCAGGGCTTAATGAAAAAATCACTCGGATAACATTTACAGAATCTTATTGGGAACCCGTACAAGTTGGCTGCGATAAAACCGCGTTGAAACTTTTCGCCGAGTTGGCTTCTACCTGAATCGTTTCGCTTGAAATATTACAATTTCTTAGTTTGTCTTCTTAAACGACCTGGCTACTTAAATCAGAGATACTCTTATTAAAGAAAAACTGTGTTTATGTTGCGTCAAACCTATCTCGTTAATATCTCCAGACGGATGTCTCTTATATCTTTTCAAACACTGTAAGTAAGTCCTGTAGTCCGAGTGCTTGCAGTCCAACAGAATTTTCGTTATGTCGCTCGAAGCTTCCGTAGAGATCGCTAACGGACTGGTGAGAACAAAGTTGACGAATGCGCCGAAACCAACGAGTATCGCGACCAAGTATAATGTTTGTGAATTCATTCTGAGACCTTTAACGAAACAGCAGTCGGCCATCCTGACCACGCGTCCCTTTATACTCATATTATCTACCGTTAAGTAAATCACTTGTATAAAAGTCGGATTCTCGGAAAGCGTTTGCGCTTCGTTCCAAGATAGCAGGGACATCGCACTCTAGGCTAATATCTTGGTGCGTGGATTTTTCAGCTGCACGGTACTCTACTGCCACGACAAATTTGCACTACTTATCGTTCACCACTCCCATGAAACCAAACTTGGGACAAGGAAGTGTCTGGGAAGACAATTGTTTGCTCCAGTCGGAATGCGGGTGGCTGCTACAATATCGATACATTAACACGATTCTCAACAATTCGAAATACTGTAAAATACTATTGTATTTGAAATAATTTGGGTCGCGATCCCGTATCGCAATCGGTGAAAATCATTTTAATCGTTGCTCATACGGTACAATGATAACGACTAGAATATCAATGCTGCGTAACTGTGCACATTTTCGAATTAAGCACGTGTCCTTTCTCATCAACGTTTTCTTCAAATTACCCAAGTTTTATTTAGTAACCATCTTATTTAATCGGCTTTTAGATTACTACTCTTTTTCTTTTCTCTAGTTGAATTACATCTTTTTCGTTACACGACGCGTCTGACTGACTCGGATATCTAAGCAAATTGTTTCTCACAAAAACACTGTGCTTAAAATCATTCGTTAACGTTATATTTCCTTCTTCCGATAGATATCTATCTATTCTGAATCGTAATTGATTTCATTGTGTCTGTTTATCGTGACCCTAAACATTTTTCATTTCTATTAACGACTAACCTCATTTTATACAGTACCGTTCGTTCGATCATCGGAAGCGTGTCGTCACACATGTTAACACCGCGTGCTCCATTTCGATCTTGAAGGAACGACTAAAACGGATAATCATATTATTTCAACTCTTCGATAGTAGGACAAATGTTATTGTCATAAACGATTGTCTCTACGATTAAACAAATGGAGTAGGAATTCATTTACAAGTAAATAAATCAACTATGTACACATTCTAATTTATAACTATCGTACTTGTCATTGGCTTTTTAATCGATTACTTTTCTTTAACAAAACATTTCTGCGACACGATGCTTTAAAATTCAGAAAAGAAACGATTCTATTCAGAAAGTGTTTTGCAACAAATAGAAGCAACCGCTTAATTCGTTCAGGCATTACACGCCATGATTTCACCGGCGACAATACTGGTGGCGAGGCATTCCGCGGACACGCGAAATTAATTCTTATATTACCTTCGTTTTACCAGAACTGGATATTTACTTGTAACCGTTTCTCGTGCTTTACCACGGTTACCCATCTCGGCACAACGACTTTTCTTCTACAGGATTTCATACGACTTGCATCGACTTATTCTGAATCGATCAATTGGTTCGAAGTTGCATTGAATCGTCGATGAAAAATCAGAGTTTCGGTTCCTGCCAAATTATTCTGACATGTGGGATTATAACAGACAGCGAAGCAGCGAGAACAACACGCCGTGCTTTCGGACACATCTTATGGACTGTTATCGTACCAATATAATACACTCGGTGTCTCGGAAATACAGTCAAGTATCTTCGACTTTGTTTGGACATTGTTTCTACACCGAAGCTTCCAACATCGAATATAGGGAGCCGCGCCGACCCGAGGGTGCAATCGATGGGGGGCGGCAATAAACGAGTATCTAATATTCATTCGAAGCATCTAGTATTCTCAGTTGAAACGGATCGCAAACGATTTCTGAAACTTCAAAATGACAATTCAGTTTGTCGAGCTTTTAAAGGGAGGCCAATCAAAGCTTACACCCGGCCGGCAAATGTCTTTGGCGTGCCCCTGCGAGTAGACATTGTCGAGAGACTGTTTCGAACGTTAGAGCCCGGGAAGTGGTTGTGCATGCGACACGCGGATAATTGACAAGAAAGGACATTTCGAATAGTACGCGTACCGATGGAGAGTTGAAATGGTATTTCTCGTTTCGTCCGTTGGACGACTCCCATCGGAATCCGATTGGTGGGAACGGGGCACAGGATAGTTGAGGACACCGCGTAGAAGAGCGCGCTAAGTGGGGTGGCGCTGTTTCGTGCGCGCGGTGTGCGCCGTGTGCGCCGTGTGCGCCGTGTGCGTGTACCTCGAGACGCGCAATGGCCGCCGTGACCTGACGTGCGGTGGTTCAATGTCAATTGTCTTTAATTTTCCCGTTTTAATTCGCCGTTCCACGCCCACGAAAATGCGCGCCACCTCGTCATGCACACAGTCGACGCAGCTCTGCGATACCGTGCACTTGGACAACGACGACAGGCTGCTCTGGCTCTCGGGTAACACAGTCTCCCCACGAATGTTTCCATCGTCTCCGAGAATCACCGTGGAAATCGACACGCGACCGAGCGTGTCGAAAGAGTGTCCGCTCAGTTTGCATCCTGCGGATGATCGGTCGGGAAAAACGAGCCAGTGAATATGCATTTCCGACGTGTACCCCCGTCGGGCAGCTTTCGTGTCTCGTGAAAGTGGACCCCTTGCGGAACACGTTCCCGATAGCCGATTTTTCGTACGCGAGAACAGTCGGAGCCGAGAGGAAGTGCCAATTGACGGTTTAATGCGCGCATTACTACGGAACACGCTGTGCGCTAGTGCTGGTCCCGGCCTGTGTTTCATACCAAAGACGATTTTCTGTGCGGAGCAACGCCGATTCGAACCGAGGATCAGTCGCAGAGGCAACAAGTGGTTTTGTGCGTACCGAGGATGGGTAAAGCTTGCATATGGCTTTGAGCCACGCTTTACCGACCTGTGCCCCGCTATCGTGTGTCGTGCTGACGAGAAAAGGCGGTCGACAATTGACAACCAACAATCAGCAATCGAGGATCGAGGGGCAAGTACAACAGTAGGATTTTTGCCGCGACGCGTTCGTCGACTACGAACCACGAACTGTGCACGACATTTCACAAAAGATGAATTTTCTCTGATCGTTTCGAGCGTATAATGCAACGGGAAAATATATTCCGCGAACGCGGTGCAATTAGAAAAGTAAGAATATTCAACGATTAAGCTGACATTGTTCGTTCGTTCGTTGCTTTTTTCGAAAGGTATGTATACACATGTGTAAGAGAATGTACATGTATGTATACAGAGTTCTCGTCGAGTCTTTTTCTTTCAATGTTTGCACATTATAGACTATAGACTAAGGAAAAGTCGTTTTGAGGCTCATGTTCGTAGCTCGATGACTAACCGGCTGGTATGCCGAGAGCTGATTTATTCGAATAACCTGCATAATGGACACGGATCGTGGACGTAATTATATCGAGAATGCTAGGCCTACAGTAACCGTAGTACACTTACTCTGCACGATGGAGTAGTTCTCGATTAAACTTTCCATCGGGAAATTTCTCTGTGACTGGACAAATTACGTGTGCCTGACTGATTTCATTGTGACCAGCCACACGATAGCGCGGTAAATATCTGCAACCTGATCGGGATATCTAGGAAAGCAGCTTCTACGTGTTTAAACGCGATTACGTTGCGCGGCAAATTTGAAAAAGATATCTTGATCGTCCGCAGGATCACTAATGTTCATGGGAAATGCTATATTCCATTTACTTTTATCGTCGTCGTTTTAAACGCTACCGTGAACAAGCACGAATATTGCTTGAAAAATCAGTTGAAACGTTTCCCGCGTAAGTTCTACTTTAGGAAGAAATCTTTTAGCAATTCTTTACTACTTGTCGATGTTCACTTTTCCTGTTCCGGTCGCACCTTACCTCTCTTCCGATATTTTTTTCCTTTATCTGTGTTCCATTTTCCTTGTTTTCCTTTTTTCCCTTTTTTCCCTTTTTTCCCTTTTTTCCCTTTTTTTTTGTTT